TGAACTGCCCGTGTTTCTTCAGCAGAGGGAGCTCAAGCTTTTCCTTCCCCCCTCAGCCTTTCCCGAGGATCACTCAGGAGAGCCTGGGAGCCTGGTCCAGCTCCCGGGGCCTTCCCTGGGCAGCCCCATCCACCCCTAACATCCACCCTTTCCTGGGCAGCCCCATCCAGCCACCCTAACGTGGGCACCAGCCCCCCACCCTTACCTGGGCAGCCCCACCCAGCTACCCTAACCTGGGCAGCAGCACCTCATCCTTTCCTGGGCAGCCCCAGGCACCAACCTCACCCATCCACACCCGGGCAGCAGCATCCACCTTGCCCTGGGCAGCCCTGTCCACCCTCCCACAGGCAGCAGCCCCCCACCCTTCTTCCCCAGGCAGCGATGCCCACCCTTACCTGGGCAGCAGCGCCCACCACCACCAGCTGGAAGGGTGCTCCCCCGGTGCCAAAGCGCAGGATATCCCCGGGACTGACTTTCACAGCCGCGTTTTGGACCTGGCAGCCGTTGACGAAGGTGCCTTGGGGGCAGTTGAAGTCCCGAAGGACGAAGCTGTTGTCCCAGGCGGTGAATTCGAGGGCTGCGTGACGATCTGCTACGCCTGCGGACTGGCAGCGGGCTGTCAAGGGGCAAGCAGGGAGACCTCCCCGAAAGTGCCTCGGGTTTGCTACTCATTCACCAAGCCCCCCCTCTTCTCCTTGCCATGTCTCTGTGTAAGCAAGCCAGTAGCCCCTACGCTTTGCACGGAGGACCCCAGCGCATCCTCCTCCCTGTGTCCAAACCCCCCGTCATTTTTTGAGGGTTGGCTTCCTCGCCCCTACCTGCAGGACAACGTCGGAGCCTTCGTGCCTGCCTATCGTCGTTGTGTGTGGTTTCAGATGAAAACATCCCTCCGAACTCCTCAGAAAGGCTTGCATCATCCAGCCCCTTCACCTGCAAGGCTCTCGTTAAAAGAAACCCAACTATTCATTTAATAATCCCCCATCCAACTGCGCCAAGAAATTCCTGACCAACTCGTCCACGAGAAATTGTAGAAAATCAACCCAAACGTGGCTCTGCCTGGCTGGCAGCGCGGCCGCAGCCTCTCAGTAGCCTTGGAAACCTGGGCTGTGCCAGAGCCCGCTGCCGTCCTTCTGGGTGTGGATTTTCCTCTTTGTTTGGGTTTCTTTTTTTTTTTTCCCCCCTCCTTCTGCTTTTCCCAAGCAACTGGCCCGGCAGCACAACACAGCTCGCCGCCGGCCGCGGCTCTCCTTGCCAGCGCGTGACGCACGCAGGAATGTTTCCCTGCGTATCAAAACTTGGGCGCCATGCAAGCTGTCGCAGCTGCCAGTGAATATTTTTCCCCTTTTTAACTCATTTTTGGTTAATACTGTGCACAAAGAGGTCTTGCAACCCTGGGCGAGCAGGTAAACATGCTGCATGGCGATGGGGATGCCGGCAGTTGTCGGTGCGCTTCTCCATCAGCGTACCTTCACCCCAGTGTGCCACTAGCTCGTTTTCAGCAGAAAAAGGGAAAATAACACACCTACCACCAACACACTCCGGGACAGCCTGTGGCTTGGCCTCGCTGGTAACACTTGAGTCTCCCCCGGTTCAAGCACTGGAGCCCAATCTCCCACCTTGCTGCCACCCAAACCCATCGCTCCCCTTTGCTGCTGGCAAACAGCACCCCAAACCACAGTGCTTCCTCCCCAAAATAAATTGTCCAACTCCAAATATCCTGCCAACAAAGGTTTCCTAGACACCTAGTCTAGTGCAAGGTGTCCCTGCCCATGGCAGGGGGGTTGGAACTGGATGATCTTTAAGGTCCCTTCCAACCCAAACCATTCTGTGATTCTATGATTCCTGCTATTCCCAGGGATGCTCTGATGCTTGGCAGGACCTAAATGCCAACATTGGACAAAGGGGAGCATGGTCGGCTGTGCCAAGGCCATTCAGCACCCCGGGCTCAGCAGACACCGCCAGCACCTGCAAACAAAACCCAAGCAGGAGAACAGCTAGCAGGTCCTGTGAGATTTTGTCGTGCTTAACTTGGAGGTAGAAGCAGCAGATTTTGCAAAGGAGCGCTCCTCTGGGAACCCAGGAGCACACACCCCAGTGCTGGCCCCCGCTGCCGGCATTCTCAGCCCTCCCTTTTCTTCTAAGGGCTTTGCACCCAACACAGAGGCTGAGGTTCTCCAGCCCCAGTCCAGCCCTTTTCAAAGCTAACAACTATCAGAGTTCCTCGGTGGCATTAACACCAGCTCTGCGTATCTCACAGGCTGCCACCGAATGCGAGTTACCTTCCAGGGACACCAAAACACACGTGCAATCTTAAAAGCTGCACAGAATAATCGTAGAATTGAGGAATGGTTTGGGTTGGAAAGACCCTCAAGATCAAGGCAGGGTCCCCTTCCAGCAGACCAGGTTGCTCCAAGCCTCATCCAGCCTGGCCTTGGACACTTCCAGGGATGGGGCATCCACAGCTTCTCTGGGCAAACTGTCCCAGTGCCTCACATGGGGAAACACATGGCTATTTCTCACCTACCTGCGTGTCTTACCTGGGGACAGCAGCCTGAGCTCAGGGATAGGTGCATCTGCTGTAGGACGTGTGTGGAGGAGACGGCTGTGCTCTCTCCCCTTTCTTCATCGGGAATAACTGTTCCCTTACAATGTATTACAGTGCCATGGGGATGAGCTGTCCTAGGACAGCGATGGTCACAGCTTTGGCAGCGCTCACACTTCTCTGCATCCCACATCTCCCTCTGCTTTCCGAATGCCATCAAAGGACAAGTAGGCAAGTAGCTGCAGACGCTCATCAGCCATTTGGGCATTTTTGGCATGGTAACTACATCCATCACAGCCACTTTCACCACAGCTACTGTGCTTTACAACATTTTTCTACCTTTTTTCCTACATGAGACATTGGGAAAGGTGCTGCTTTTGCCAGCCTGTCTTGTTAAATGGGACTTTCTGGCACAGAAGCTCGATGAAACTTCAACTCCCAACTGCTCAGACAAGACACTTCACCTTACTGACCCAGGTTTTCCAAGGTAACTGTTAGGGCTGTGTTTCTTCACCATGGAGAGGGGATTTCATGCCTTGCTTCCTGCTGTGGACAAGCTTTTAAGAGCACACGTGTCCAGGAGACAACTTCCAAGGAGCTGCACCACCTCTCCAAACCCTCAACAGCAGTGAGAACCTCATGGAAACCCTCATCCCAAATCCCATAGCCCGGGATATATTCTCCTACTAGTTTTTTCCTTCTCCTTTTCCTTCCCTCTTCTGAGAAGGGAGTCCCTCATTGAGTGATGTTATTTTGCACATCTGAGATCATGCCTCGGGGCACAGCAAAGTGAAATTCCTGTGATCCGACAACAGACATTAAGGGATGCAGTATGAAATAATAACTAACAAGATAAATGGTGATACAGATTTGGACCAGCATCTCTTCTTCGCCTTCGTTTTGGCCACCCGCACTCCTCTCACACCTTATGTCACCCATCCTGCCACGGCAACCTCTGCTGAACGATCCAGAGCTGCATCAGTATCAGCACCGCACCAACCAAGCCACATCCATAGTGGAAGCCTGGAGGTAGAGGGCAGACTGGCCGCATTCCAGCCTGCTCCAAATCCCAGGGAGATTCCCTCTCTACCCACACCATCAAAATTCAGACCATTAGAGGGAGTCTGTGGCTGAACAGGTTGACGACTGCTGTCGGTGACTCTGCTGGAAGCCCTGGATGGGAGCTGACTGCTTTTATACCGCTCTGCCTTGTGAACCTTGGGAAGGGCCAACCGTGCACGAACACACACACACCCCAACGCAACGTACGAAATATTTATTTAGCACAGGTCTGCTCTCACCGCGCACCCAGCAGCTGTTTCATCCCGCTCACCTCCTGGGCAGAGATGTGCTCAGACAGATCCCAACCCCCTGGATTTATCCATTCAATCCATCCACTTGCATCGGAGTGCAAAACATGATGGAGAAAAAGCATCCGAGGCAAGAACTTCCCCCCAGCAAGCACAGACCTTGGCAGGAGTTGGGGCTGGCCCCGGGCCACCATCCCAAGTGCAGAAGAGAGCGGGGGAAGGCAGCAGCGCTACTCTGGCAACGCGATTTCCCTTACTCAGAATGAAAAGGCACTCAAAAAAAAGGAGTGCTGCCGTTTTCCACTTGGAAAATCCTTGTTCAGTATCAGTCTGGTGGCTTGGAAAAGTCTGGCTTGGGCAAGGGGGAGAGGAGGTGAGAAGATGCAAGATTGGGGAGGTCCTTGTGTAAAACACCACAAAATACACTTTCAGTACTTCCAGCTTTCATTTACTTCAGAGCAGCAGACCCATCGGCATTCAGGTTTCTTTCCCCAGAGTCTTTTGTAAAACCCCATCCCGGGAAAAGCTTGTCCTGTCCCCGTGCCGCAGCGCTACGCACCCTTCGTGTCTTCCACGTCGCAGCTCCCAGGGAGCCCTGACCGCTCCTGCGCCCACAGACCGAGCCCCTCTTAGTGTGGTGGTGGTTTTCCTAAAAAACAACCAAAAAAAACCCCAGCAGCATCACAGATTCCTTGTTTTTAAGTCATTTGCTGGCTCTCTGGTGCTTTCGCCTGCACCTCCTCATACTTGGGCGGAGGGGTCAGCGGCTCTATGGTGATGGGGGCAGTGCTGATCCCCTCCGTGAGGTTCAGCCTGATGTCCTTCAGGTGCAGCTTCTCCGACTTGATCCTCCGGATCTTCAGCGGCTTCAGGCGCTTGCTCAGGCGCGAGCTGTGCCGGCTGGGCTGCCGCTCCATGCCAGGCTCCATGCCGGTGGCTCCCGGCACCTGGGTGTTTTCGTTGAGCCCCGTCAGCGACTCGTAGGAGGGCAGGGAGATGCTCATCCTGTTGCTCCTGCCTGAGTCTCCAGGCTCAGAGTAGCCCGCGTTCATCACCTCCTCGTAGCTGGGGACATGGTACTGAGAAGACACATCTTCGTCCTCTTCTTGACTAGAGGGGAAAAATATGAAGGCTATCAGCTGCACATCATTCAGCTTCGCCAGGGGCGGGGAGGAGAAAGTAACACTAAAGCCAAAGAAATCACAGGTCTATCTGCATTCTACACAGCAGCTCCTCCAGTTTGCCAGAACAGACCACCTCCTCCCCTGTTTTCAGACATGTTTCTTTTTCCTTGTGACGTACATCTGCCTTGGATCACCTCCCCCCCTGCCCACAAAACCTCTTTGGATATGGTGCAGCAATAATTCCTTCCCCTGGCAGAACGCTGCCTTCTTCCCGCTCGACAAACCACTCGGAACACGTTTGGAAAAGACATCACCACCATCTGCCTTTGCCACTCGGGTGTCTTTCCGGTTGGCCATCTACCTTGAGTTTTAATGCCTCGAGATGCAGCTGCGCAATCCCTGCCCGTCTATGCCGCAGGTACCCGCATGTGGATGCTCGGTGTTTCTTCTGCATTACAAAGTGACCTTTATGATTACCAGGGAGAAACAGCTTCCTGGGTGGGTCTGCACAGAGAGACACTTCTCTGCAGTCCCCGACGGCAGCTCTCCCCAAGCAGCAGGCAGCAGAGCCATTGCCTCCTCCTGACACCTCACTCACCCCACGCTGTCCCAGCATCCCTCTGCATCTCTCTGCACAGGCACCGGGGACCGCACCAATTCTCCGTGCTGCCCAGACAGCTGGGGCTTCTCCTGCACCCTGTGTTTGTTCAGACCGTGCCTGCTGCGGCAGCAGCCTTTGTTCTGCTCGGTGGAGTTCCCCGAGCAAGCACGAGGGCCCTGCAGACTTTCACCAGGTCTAAACTCCATTTCCAGCTGCCGCCTATGCTGCTGCAGGCTGCTTGGCATCTCCGGCTGCACCCAGCGAGACAGCACATCCTACAGTCTCCTGCTCCCCTCCCTCCGTAGCCCCTCGCCTGGCTTGCAGCAGCGATCACGCTCTCCGGCGTTAACCCTCACCGCTCCCGGCATTACCCCTCAGCACGCTGCTTGCCTACTGGGAAAGCCAGGAGCGGCACGTCTCGCCAACGGCTCCGTCTAGACCCCAGCATACGCATGACCAACACTTCCTTTCACCTACAGCACCACAAACACGGCTGGAGCCATTCCTTCCTGACCTCCACAGCACATCTGACCCCTGAACCATGCGACGTGCTTGCCTGTATTCCAGCACACACCACTATCAGCCTTACTCTCCTTGCTCTCGACCTCTTTGCAGAGGACTAAGCGCCCTTGGCTTCATTCCGACACTTGATCCCGCTCCTTTCTCCCCAGAAAGGCTCACCTGTCCTCCTGGTGCGAGGGCTCTGTGGATACTTGGTGCTGCACGCGAGCAATATCCTCGCTTTGCCTCTTCCTATCCCGGATGTTCAAGCAGATGGAGAGCAGCAGCAGCAGCACACCCGCCCCCACCAAGACGTACGCCACCGAGAAGGTCTTGCTCTTCAGAATGCCCCCCGAGCCATGGTCGAGCTTGCTGCTGTTCCCAGCATGGGTGGCAGGTCTCTCAGCGGGGCCGAAGCCGGGGACGAGGTTCCAGACAGCCATGATGATACCGAGGACGAGCATCCCCAGCCCTATTGCTGTCAGGGCGTAGTGTGAGCCATTGGCTCGAGATTGGGCCATCGCTCCTGCTGCTGGCCCACCTTACAGCATGGCTCGGCTTGGAGGGGGTGCTGGCCTGCTAGCATGCGTGCGGTCCCCTCCCACGGCGGGCGACGAGCTCTGGGAAGAGATGGAAAGTGATGGTTAGGGCACGGTGGGATAAAAAAGTCGCACAGCTCCATCTTGGTGGCCACGATAACATTGTTTTCTTCTGCTAATGCTGGAATTCTAATTGCACTGCTGGCCGTTCTCATCACGACCCTTTCTGGGCCCTGACGTCCACCAACCTTAGGAAAGAACCGAATGACACGCGTTTGCTAAGGACGTAGATTAACCACCCTTAGGAGCATGATACCTGACCTCTTCACAGCACCAAAAAATTGGCACCAACATGAAGTTCACTGCTTAGGGAAACGCTCCCCGCTTTATGGAGCTGTGCTTGCCTTCGGCAAACAGCCTTTGTCTGCCCCAACTAACCACACACTGCTCAGAAACAGATCCCTGGCTGTCTAACTTCTCTTTTCGCCTGTTTGCACTAGAACAGGGCTGCTGCTGGCCGGCTGCCATGAGCGGGAACGCCTCCTTCGCCACCTCGACTGCACGCCTGCCTCTTCCGGGTCGCCAGGACCAGGTGCCCTCCCTTCCCAAAACCAGACGTGTGGAACCGCATCTCCCTGACCACCCGAGCAAGCCTTGCAGCAGCCTCCTGGCTTGACACGTGCCCAAACCAGCGTGCAGCTGCGCCAACACGCCGGGGTTACGCTCCTTTTCTCCCCAGCCCCGGCTTCTCGACATTTGTTTGTGCTGGAAGTCGCCCTTGGCTATGCAACTGCTGCATGCCGTCTCCGTCTAGCCCCTCATCCTTCAGCACAGCCATCCAGCTCCACGCTCCCCAAGCTCTATGTTTGCTTGTTTAGCTCCAGTGCAAGCCGGGTCCGCAGGGTCAAGGGCCAGAATAAACCAGCATTCCCAGAAAACAGACCAGCTCCAGCTGCTTACAGGAAAAGACACGCACGCAAGCCCAGAGAAGACAGGAGAAAGCTGTAGGGCAAACTTCCCCATCGCAGCCCGCTGCACTGGCACTGCTTTGGAGGCTCACCGAGGGATGTCCCAGCCCTGGCCTCGCAGCAGGGTTGTCAGCGTTCGTGTGGATCCAGGCAGGGCAAAGTCTTTGCTCCTGCTGTGTGTCCAGGGTTATTGGGCGAACACGAGCTGCTGAGCCCTGCCCGACAGGAGCTGCTGGCAGGCAGTGAGCCCACCCTGGCTGCCGGAGTCAGGCTGCTGCCATGCAGGCATCTCAGGGAAGGCATCCCCTGCCCCCTCCTAACCTGCCCCCGGCTTTAATGCCGTGCTAGCAAGCAGCTGATGAGGACAACGTGAACGCTTACACCCAAGAAGTCCTCACCAACATCCTGAGAGCAACCCCAACTCGGCAGCCCATCCTACCTGAGTGCTTCCAAACATGCGAATGCCCGTCCCAGGAGCAGCCTCTGCCCTCCAACAGTCATTGTGCTCTGCCAGCCCCTGCTCTGCCCACCCTGCCTGCCCCTGCCAGCACCGCCTACGGCCCACGCTGCCCCAGCAGCCCCCTCTGCTCCGGAGAGCGCCCGCAATGCAAACTCACCACATGCTCCCTTTGGGGCTTCCAAGCTTGGCAGTAGGGGCGACTGTTGGGATTTGTCCTTACCTGAGCTATCCAAACGATTTTCCATCCCCGTGCTATTTGGCACAGCGCTTCACAGACATCGGCCAGCCGGGATCACACTTGTAAACTGCTGTGATGGATTTGGGGCCAGGAAATCATGCTGCACCCACAATGGACATAAAAAATACACAGGGCTCGTAACATTTATCCGTGGTGTCTAAACCTCCACGGACTGTTCCCGGTCTCTCCGGCTTCCCTTGGGCACCTCATCCCTGGACGCAGCAGCATCTAAGGTTCCTGCATCATATCTGTGTCTGAAAGCTTCACGCAGACCCCTCGCCGTGCTGCCCTACAGTCCGGGCAAATCACATTAAAGCAGGAGACTTGACATACAAGTCTGTCTCTCCATTGAATTAGTTCTTCGGGCTTTCCAGAGCACAGTCCTATCGCTGCTTGAGCAATAACCACCCTTGACGTCAGCGGCCAGAGAAGGGAGCTGCTGCCATCTCCGTATCAGGTCCGACGCCTGGAGCAGCACGACTGGCTCCGCCGAGGTGGACACCGGTCAGCACGACCAAAGGGTGCTGTGAATTGGGGGTTCAGGGAACCCCCAAACCAACCGTCGAGTCACCCCAAAAATCTCACTGCAGCCAGGTGGCACCTACAGCAGCTGTACAGGTGGAGCACACACACACCGTGCCGTCTTCCCAATCCAGCAACGGAGAAATTCCAGCTCCCACCTGCCCGTCTCCCCTTCCCTCCACCCGCGGCATGGGGTCTTCCCTGCAGCCAGACCCACCTTTGTCCCCTCCCACACTCGCCTGCGGCCCCGGCAATGATTTACACCAGGATCTCCGAATCATTAAACTCCACCGGTGCGGCCGCAAAGCCAGGGGCAACCTGCGCCTCCTCCACGCTTCCCGCACCTCTCACCGCCTCCCTGCAAGCTGACAGGGCCAAGGGACGCTTTGTGACTTCTCTGGGGACATTTCTGACTGTTAATCCAGCCTCAGAGGGCTGGGATAAGCCCTTTCCCGAGCGTGGCACGCCCACACGCCTGGCCGCACGGCAATGACTTCTAGCACAGGTACCCAGGCCGGGCAGCAGCAGATAACATCTTCCCCTCCGCGGGAAACACCAGCCCTCCGTGACAACAGTCCCACCTGTGGGGACGCAGAACCCCCTGACGGGGTCAGCCCCAGATCATGCTTCCCATCTCCGTATTCCCAGAAACATCAACACCATGGGGGTGACTCACGAGGAAGTAAGACACCCATCGCTGCGCACGGCAGCACCCACACTCCTCTGCCCTCCACAACCTTTGCTTTTTCCCCTCCTGTGACATCACCTTCCCGCTCACGCTCCAGCGGCAACACCTTTGTCACAGGATCACGAGAGATGAGCCTGCGGTTCAGGGAACGGGTCAAACCCCAGTGTAGTCACAGGGCACGGGACGAGCTCACTCCCAACTGCGCTCCAGGGCTTCCTCACTCCTAAGGAGGCGTCGGAAGGCGATGCACGACTCACAGCTATCGCCATGGAGCGACACGTCCCTTCGGAGCTGCCTCTGAAAGCCACTATGCAACTCCAGCGCCAGCTGTAAAACACGAGACTAATTTTTTGGAAATTTTTTTTGGAATAAAAACCCCAAATCCCTTCTCCAAACATCCCAAGAGCCCAGAGCCCTCTGCGTGTTAGCTTACATCCAGTGCCAGGTGCCACAGCTCTCCCTCTTCCCGAGCTGCTCCCAGGGCTGGCAGCAGATCAGCCCCCACTCCCCTTCCAGCTCTCTTCCCAAGTTACAGCCAGGAGGTCCTCGAGCTCCTTTCACCACCAACCCTCGCCATCGGTGCCCAGTGGCTCGGGCGTTCCCAGAGAGCTTTACCACCTTCCGGAGCCGGGGCTGGAAGTGCCGGGGGTTTGGCCCCCGCCCTGGCGAGCCCCGAGATGATCAGAGACAGGGATAACACTGAGCCAGGCTGGAATTCGCCAAGCTGCCCGGCCCCAGCTCCAGGGGACAGACAGCCCCACATTACCTTACGCCCAGACAACCTTCTCATTAACCACCTTCCGTGCTAATTGGCGACCGCAGCTCATCCCAGCTCCTTCCCGCAGTGGCAGTAACCTTGCGCGCAGCCCTCGTTACGCAAGGACTCAACTCACGAGCGACACAAAACTCCACGCCGAGTCAGAAAACCAACGGGTCGGGACTCAGGATGTATTTTCTCTCTCTTTTCGGCCCTTCTCACTGCCTGCACGTCATGGTTTAACCTTGGCTAACA